CACTGCAGCATTCTTGTCTCCATGACACTAAGCTTGTGTTCTTCAATTTGTGTACTGGGCAATTCGCTGCCATCCAGCGCCGTGGGACGGATCACAGTACGGTATATTTGAGATGAGAGCTGTACTGGCATTCGCTTGTCGCATAGAACTCCTGTGAGATTCTCTATTTCCAGGATGCGTTTGTCCTGGCAGATATATCATCTTGGATCTCTTTCGCTAGAGATGTAACTTTCTAGGTACTTAAAGGTACTCGATTTCTTGATTGGCTTCTCATCGATGTATATGTTTCTGAAGTTTTACCTCCCACTTCCATATATTCTGTCTTCTTTGTGTTGAGCTTCAAGCCGTAAGATCCTAATTGATCCTTCCATCTCTGTGTTTCTTCTTCAAGTTCTTTTCTGTTTTCTGCCATCAACGCCACACCATCTGCATATAGGAGAGCCTATGAAGGCTGTCGCTTAAGACCTTCCTTCACTGCATCCATAACTGATGAAGAGTAGAGGAGAGAGCACCGATCCCTGATGCACGCCGCTCTTTACGCGGAATAATTTTGACTGTCCTGCCGCTTGCCAATGGCTCGTGGCTCCGTGATAGATCTATTTTTATCCATTGGATGTATACTTTTGGAACCATGTGTTTTCGCAGTACCCACCATCACATCATGGGGTACCTTGTCGAAAGCTTTCTCCATATCAAAGAAAGCCGCATGTAATTTTCTTCGCTTTTCTCTATACTTCCATCACTATCCGCATAGTATGGATGGCGTCAGCAGTACCGGTACCCTTTACAAATTCGCACTGATTGGATGGCAACTCTATGATCGCTCGAAGTCGTGTTTCAAGTACTCTTTCAAAAATCTTCAGAGTGTGGCTCATCAGCCGGATTGGCCTTTCTGCAACTTGCAGAATCAAATACTTTCACTCTCTTACAGCATTGTTAGCATTTCCTATTTGGCCATTGCTTGGAATTCTGTCATCATTGTCTTAGTCAATCGCAGCCGCGACAAAGCCTTGCTTGACGCACCCACCCAAACATATGGGAGGACTACAATCAATGTAGAGATTATTAGCTTAAGCTTTATAAATGCCCGTGGTTCTTGTACGTGAGGCCTATCAGCCAATAAAGTTTCGTCTGCGTCCTAGAGTCCAGACATGGCCGATATGTTGAACAATCTGCGATATCGCCTTTATTTTTTCATGTCGAAATCGTTGTGCTCTTTGACCAATCATGGGGCATGCTCTTAGCTTTGATGACCTGATTGAAGAGGTCTGCAAGGAATGAGGCGCCGAGCCATCCGCATTCTTTCTAGAAATTGCTTGGTATGTCATCTGGACCAGAAGCCTTGCCGTTCTTTGTCCTTGCTATAGCAAGTCATACTTCCTCTGCTGTTATGCGTGGTACTGGTCCTTTGACAGGGTCAGCTGGTTGGGGTGGCTGTGCCAATGCTGGCAGTAGACGACATTTCTTCGAAGTACGTTCACCATCTTTCAATTATTTCCTGTGGTCTTCTTAACGTTTTTCCAAGCTTATCCTTCACATGGTAGAAGTGTTCCATATCCTTTGCGGACTCTGTCCTCCCTCGCGCTATTCAGTATATACCGCGCTCTCCATCACGAGATTCCAATTTCTTATACAGTTCTTCTACGTATGCTTTTTTCGCTTCCTTGACACATGCTTTTGCAGCGTGCTTCATTTTTAGGTACAATTGTCGATCGCTTTCCGATTTCGACTTATGACATTGCTTGTATGCCTGACTCTTTTCCTTAATCACCGTTTGAACCTCATCGTTCCACGCGCAAGTTTCTTTGTCGATTCTTCTTCTTCCTGGCTTCGTGTGACCTATATCTCCATGCTACCCGATGCACGTTACGCTCCAAGGTTGACTAACTGTTCTGGTTTCCCACATAAGGCCGGTAGAGTACTGACCAGAGCTTCTTTGGCCAGAGAGTTCCCTTTCAATTTCCACACTTGATTAGTGCTTTGTTGTTAGTCGTGGGTTTTCTTTGTCGTTCAACCGGAATTTTTAGGCCTAGAAGTAACGGCATAACTTTGCAATCCTTCATGTTCTTTAGCTTATTATAATGCACTACAGTAGTCAATTTGTGTTAGACGGTCTCCACTTGAATATGTAATCAGGTGTTCATGCTTTTTGATGTGATACTTGTTGAAATGCTAGGTTGTACGCTGTGGCGAACTATATGCGTTCGCCTTCTTCGTTGCATGTGCCGTATCCGTGGTTTCCGTGACACTTTCCCGCACCATTTCTTTTCTCCCCTACATAACCCTTCAGTTCTGCTCCGAGCGGGAGTATCTCATCTTGTGGTATGAATGTGATGTAATCGTCAAGCTCCTGCCAGAACATAACCTTCTCTTCCTCCTTGCATCCGATTTGCGGAGCGTAGGCGGTGGCATCGAAGGATTTTACTATTAATGTCAACCTTTAGGCTCAAAAGTCGATCACTTAATTGGTCAACTGCGACAATCCTGCTTCTTAGGAGCTGTAGAGAAGCTTATAGCCATCCAGCCATATTGCATGATTTTTCACACTCCCATTTTTCTTTCCTGTATGCAAACTATATCCACTCGCTGTCTTCTCAGGAGATCCACCAATTCTCGATGTCGTCCAGTGAGTGTTCCAACATTGATGGTAGCTAATCGGAGTGCTTCTGAGTTTTCAGATAGTTGCCTTCGAAGAGCTAGCTTTCTTACCCGTCTCCGCTCTTTGTAAGACGGTGGCCCTAGCACACTATTGCACCCGTCGGGCTCGAGTGCGCGTCGCTTCTGGGGGACGTCCTAGCTTTTACTCAACTCGATATACTTTATTGAACATTAACTCATTTTGATGCGACGGAGTGTTTCTCAGCCAGCTTGACGCGCACCCTGAGGGTAAGTCTGACGCCAGAATCGCAGACAATTATGTCCTAGTGAGGAATCGGAACCCGTGACCTCTTCGAAGTGAGATCATGGAAACTAGAGCACTAACTACTCGGCTAACTCTCCCATTCGCTTCGTT